CCCCCAAAACCCCAAAACCCCAAAACCCCAATATATTTAAATTTAAAAATGAACTACAACTCAGATCATGACATTGACGAGTACACTCTTTTTGATAACCTGCAAATTATTTCTGAGGCTTTAGGCGTAGTTTTGGAGAACTAAGAACGAAACTTTTAAATCTGCTTGGGGGTTTTGTAGTAAATAAAGTTTAGACCCTTAGATAACTGAGTAGTTTGGTATATAATAATTTTTAATTCTATTTCCTCTTAGTTCTAACTTATCCATTACTTTAAGGTTCATAAATCTTCAAAATTTGTGCTTATCTATATCAAAGACTTCTTAAAATGCTTAATGTAACTTTTTTTACTAAATGTTCCTCTAGAAGGGAGGAAATTACCTTCTCTGATGGGGGAAACCAGGAGATAGAGAATGTTGAAGAATCTAAGATGACTATTTCGACTCCTAAACTTGACTCTGAAACAGAAGATCTTCCTGGGAATGAAGAGAAGATCAATAAAGACTTGATAAAAGAAGTAGAGGGTAATACCAAAGAAAATAAGACTAAATCTCCAGGATCATATTTTAAATCAAAAGGTATGCATAAAATATCCTACGAAAGTGAAGATAAACAGACTAAAGAACTTTCCCCAAGAGTTTTTGAAATTCTTGACAAGGAAGGAGAGGAAGTTGTTGAGAAACTTGAAGAGAAAGGCACAATTAAGAAATATCCTCCCATTCAGCATAGCCCTAATTCTATCAAACCAAGGAAGATTATATACTCAGCTAATTATAATGATTCAAATATTGATATTGATGAAAGAGAAATACAACCTAAATCTCCAGAAATAGAGCTTGTAAATGACTCAGCTTACATCCCTTTGCACCAAAAAGAGTCTCCTTTCAGAGACAAAGAAAACATTGAGCTTAACCACCGTCAACCTCCTCAAAATGAAAGCCAAATCCCCCCTGAATCCCACCCTTATCCCCACCAAACCCCACCTCAAATCCCCCAATCCCAAAACTTCAGCCCTCCAAATTACAAATCCTTCCTTAAAAACCCTCAAAATCCCTCTTTACCCCACCCCCTGAACACCTCCTTACCCGACCCGATCACCTTCAACACCAATCTCCCACCCCAAAACCCCCACTACAACCCCTCCCAAGAACTCCCTTACAGTACACCTCTCCCTCACCTCTAGCCTCTGAAGCTCCACACCCCTACTACAACCAGTACCACCCTCCTCCCTTCAGCCACCAGTACCAAATCCCCTACCAGCACCCACAGTTCTGACAGTACCCCCAGAACTCCCAAATATGGAACCAGACTTCGTACTTGCCGCACCAGAATTCACAGTTCGACCAGATTTCCAAGTTGGTAAGCAGAGGTTTAATTCTGAGTTTGAGTAAAATGTTGAAATATGGGATTAAGTGGGAATTATGCGATTTTTTTTAATTTCTGGAGGGGAAATGAGGAGGTTTGGAACAGGGGTTTTGGGTTTGGTTAAGTGGGGAGGTGGGGGTTGTGAGGATAAGTTGTGATGGAATAGGTGATGATGAACAATGAGTTGCAGCAAGTGGTGTATAGTTTGAGGCAGGAGAATGAAGGGTTGAAGAGAGGGGATCACAGGGGATGGATGGAGTCGAGAGAGGAAGGGGATAGAGAGGTAATGGTGTTTATTAGGGTCTGGTGTGTTAGTATAGGGGTTTTAAGATTTTAGGATTTTAGTAGTTGGATCTTGTTGGTGTTGTTATAGCTGATCTCATTCTCTTTTTAATAGAGTATGGATTACAATTACAAGAAACTTACAGAAGAGAGAAGGGAAAAAGAGGATGCTTTGGAAAAGCAAAGAGAGATGTTTGAAGAATTGATCAAATTAAGGAAAATCAATCAGTATGTCTCTGTGCTATTTTTCAGATATAGAAAAGGTCTTATCGATGACTTGGAACAAGAAAATGATAAAATGAGGATAGAAAGAAAGGAAATAATGGAGAGAATGTATAGAATTGAGAAGAGAGAAAGACAGTTCCTCGAACAGTATACCTAAAAGCTCATCATCTAGGATTAAAGAGCTTAACGAAACTCTCAATGAACAAGACAAGATCATAGATTTATTAAAGAAGAAAAGAGATAGAGAAGAGGAGGTAGAAAGAGAAGATGATGATCTTGAAAGAGATCCTTATATAAATTTGGACATTAAGAAGGAAAGAATGCCATACCAAGTTCAGAATGTTTATAAACCCCTGAATAACTTCTATGTGCAAGATAAGGTAAGATGGAGAGTTTATTTAAATAGGAAGAAGAAATTGAAGTCAAAAGTTCTAGAACAAGAAAATTCCAAATGACTCCTGAAAAGAAACCTAAAAGATATGAAAGAGCAAGAACTCCTGGATCGACTATTTACAATAAGAATCTACGCTCCTCAGTTGGAGAATGTCTCAGTTGGCAAGACGGCTCTGAAACACCTGAAAAAGCATCAAAATCAGTAGCTAGATACACTAAAAACTCTCCATCCGATCCCAAAAAATTCTCCCAATCCTTCGCCCAAAAACCTCCTCTAAACCCTCTTGATCCTCCCTACCAGCGATCTCGTGTGCATTTCCTCGATAACCCAGCTCCCCAAAATCCTCAAATATCCCAATCGTCCAAAACCCAGCCTTCCCAGAAACCCCGCTCAGCCAGTCACCAGAACCGTGCTAGTACACCTATTTTCGCTGACCACCAGATTAACCCAACTTCCTTAGCGATTCCTTCAGACACGTACCCCCAGCAGACCAAAATCCAGATGTACAACCTTGAGAAGGACATTGCTCGCTTGACTGCTGAGCAGGCAAAGGTAAGCATTGATAGAGCTCATGTATAGAAACAAGAGGAATTTGATAGGATTTCAGAGTATTCTAAGTCAAATTGGGAACGAAGAAGGAAGAGGCAACTTGAGACAGATGTCAGGGTCATACAGGCCAATTTACAGTTCCTTAACAGGAAGTATAGAGACCTAGCAGGGTCTAATTATACCCAAAGAATGAGAGCCTAAGGTTTCAATATATGGGAACATCGGTGGGGTTTTGGGGTTTTGGGGTTTTGGGG